GTGTTTATTATATATATTATATATCTATATATACTATATATGTGTGTGTGTGTGTGTTAGTGGTGTGATTGAATGCTGTGTGTGGCTGCGTGTGTGTTAGGTGGTGTGTGATGCTGTGATGTGTGTGCATGCATGTGTGTGATGACTGTGTGTGTGTGTGTGTGCGCGCTGTGCCGTGTGATGGTAGAGTATGTAGTGTGGGGGGGGTGAAACCCACTGGTGTGATGTGTGATGTGAATGTGTGTGCTGTGATGTGATGTGCTGTGTGTGGTGTGTGTGTGTGTGTGTGTGATGTGTGTGAGACGCACGGTGATGATCGTGATGGTGTGTGAAATTGTGTGATGTGAAGAGTCACTCACCGAAAACACCGTTGGTGTCGTGAGCGCAGCGGTGAATGTGTGTGTGATGTGGTGGGGGGGGGTGTGATGAGGCAGGTGTGTTTGAATATGGACGTTGTGAGACGGTGGAGCGGCTGGTAGAAGCAGCGTTGCGCGTCGGCGACGCGTTGTGTGTTAGATGGTGTGCGTGATGCGATGGGTGGGAAGTTAATGCGTGTGAGCGAGGTGTGTATTGTGCAGAGTGGCAGGTGTGTTGAATACGGACGTTGGTAAAGACAGGGTATGCTTGGCGCGTGCGCGCGCTGTGTGTTTGAATTGAGTTCCCACTCCGGGCGAGGATGGGAATGGATGTGCGAGCGTCGAGCGCGGGTGTGCATGTGTTTTGAATGTTGTTACGTGGGTGCGAGGTGGGAGTGTGCGTGCGCGTGAGCGCGGGTGTGTGTTTGAATGTGTACGTGGGTGCGAGGGTGGGAGTGTGCGTGCGCGTGAGCGCGGGTGCGTGTTTGAATGTGTACGTGGGTGAGACGGTGGGAGTGTGCGTGCGCGTGAGCGGATTTAATGGCATGTGACTGTGCCCTATTACCTATAATACCTACCATAGCTTACCTATATTTACCTTAACAAACCGACACACACCGTGTTTCCACAGTCTGTATATAGTTAACGCTATTAATCTCGTTAGCTGCACATGGTGGAATCCGCGATCAGGTAACTAGCAGCAAATAAAAAATGTGGGCCTACAGACAAGGCAGATCTAACCGACATAAGTACGTATTATAGTATTATTATACACGTAAATAGTAAAAGTAAAAATATTATGTCAGAAAAAAAAGTAATTCCGTTCACTTTTTATGGTTAAATTGCTGCATTATATCTTCTATTTTACTATTCCGTTCAATGCAAATAAAAATTTGTGACTCATACATAGCCCATAGCAAGCATTTAATGTCGTGATCATCATAATATCAAATCGGCCAGGTATTTTTAATTTTTAACTAGTTGAGAAACAATATTATCAGGTAAGAATTTAAAGATACATTTATTACTTACTTTTAACGTAAAAAAATGGCAACAAATGTTTTACACAATTATACACCATAGAAAATTCGTGACGTAGTCAATTTAAGCAGTTGGAAAGGAAACTGGTGGAACACGCGGCGTAGAACAAACGCGCTCTTCATTCCCCTGCTTAACAAACTTGCCAATATACGAGTGACTTCCCATCGTTTTAATCACGCCAGCAATTGCTTCAATTTATCAACGATCACACATTTTACTCATTAATATAAAATAGAATATCACTATAATTGTAATTTTTTATTGTATAACTGTATTATTTTCATCTTAATATTAAAGTTATGAACGGGTCTGGGCTCTCGTAATGTTAGGAGAAAATTTCCGGGAATTTTTCGTTCTCGTAACTTTACGAAGTTTCTGTCAACGGTTTACGAGTGGAAGTTAATGGTAAGACTAATTTTGTTTCTGACAACAAGGCCCCCTGATCTATAACTCGTAACAGTGGAATGCGAGATTAGGGTTTATTCGTAGCTGATCATGAGTACGTTTAGCGTAGCAGCTCAACTGAGAAGGCAACCGTACGGGAAACCCACTGACAACTTATTTTATTTTTATTTTATTTTTTTCTATTTATATATATATATATATATATATATATATTATTTTTTATATATATTTCATACATATGTTTTCTCTATATATATTTCCCACATATGTTTTCTCTATATATATTTCAAACATTTATTTTCTATATATATATATGTTTCATACATATTATATTTCATACATGTGTTTTCTGTATATATTTCATACATATATATTTCATACATATTACATATTGAATGCAGCCCGGCGGACAACATTAATGATCTCGTTACGTACACAGACAACGCAGTCGAACAGTGACGGCGCGCGTAAATTATTATATCATTTCTATTTGTGCGATTACAAAACGTAAATCGCAATGACGCATTCGGCGCCATTTCAATATATCGGATCTTGCCTAGAGAGCGCAATGAGTAGCTGTTTCAGTCGCCGTTCAGACGAATTCGACGCGGTGCCGCTCGTGCGTTGGCGAGACGTTGACAAATAATTGAATATAATAAACATAACAGTGACGACGACAATGTGGGTGTTGTTGTGCGGGAACACTCGATTCATCGAACTCGCTCTCGCCGTAGGGGGGAGGCATACGCGCGCGCGTGTGACGCCATCGCGCCTACTCTAATTGAAAATGTATTAGCACAGTGCGGGGTCTCTGAAGCATCTACCTCGACACCCGATCAACAATCCTACCGGAACCTCAGCGGCTAATAGCTTCCTTGCGAGTTAGATGCATGCGTCTTCATTTGGCAACCGTTCCCCGCGCCTACATCGGTGTGTTGGCGTCGGTACAGGCGCAGAAGAAGCGCTTGTGAGAGGCGGTGGTGTCTGTATATGCCGGTCTGCGCGCACACGCTCTCACGACACACACACGCACGACACCGCTCAGAGCAACGCTTCGCCTCAGTGCAAATATAAGACTCGCGTCGCATCTCGTATAAAGTCGTCGACACAAGGCAGCCACTCCGTGAAGTTAACAGAAAAGACCTCGTACCTCCATTCTTCTGTAAAGGTAGGTGCTGTGTGATCTACTCGCTGTTTATTTTCGCGTGCGGTTCGTCCGTCAAACAGCGACGACCAGCTACTACTAGATGTAGAGATTCGAATGCGGTTCCAGGAATAATTCTAAACATTTGCGAGTCAGCGGAATGCCTCGTGCCATAGGCAAGGTGGAATAATTTGACGTCTGTACTTTATGTAAGCATGGTGTTGTGAGCCGAACACAAGATGACATGTGATAGCGCATGATAAAAGAAAACATTTAAGATTAATAAGACAAAAAGATTATAATAAGGTTACACAATATCTAAAGTGTCATAATATAAGCGTGTTATAATATATTATGACACTCCTGTTAATATTAGATGAGATTGGATGAATAAATCTAGCAATACAATGCTAGATTAGATCAAATGTTTATCGTATTACTTATTCTTCGTCAACTTAAAAGAGTCTAGGTAAATGTCAACTAAAAAGGTCTAGGTCTAGGTCTAGGTCTAGGTCTAGGTCTAGGTCTAGGTCTAGGTCTAGGTCTAGGTCTAGGTCTAGGTCTTCGTCAACTAAAAGGTCAGGTAAATGGGAAAAATAAAGTTAGATAAACCAAAGTAACGCAATACTAGATAGAATAACACAATATATTAAACAGCGAAACATTATAGGATAAAGCGTGATTGTGTACGCGTGCGCGTGCATGTATGTGTGTGTGCGTGCGTTTGTGCGTGCGTGCATGCGCCCGTTTTCTACCTGGCGCAAAGGACTATCTCGCAAAATTGAGGTAAGTGGGTTGTTTTCTGATTAACAAAGTTGCTGTACGGTCTGTAACCTCTCCAGCTCACACGTTAAACGGAATCAGTATTTTTTTAAACTACAATATGTAAAAATGACATATTTACTCACCGAACTAGAACGGTTTTACTTCCTAAACTGTCAGGCGTATGCAACTTTGTCGAAAAATCCTTGCTCATGCGTTATAAATGTCATAATCCTAGAGCCTAAAATGTCATTGCACTAATCGGTAATTATTAAATTTTTGTAAACCAGGATGTCATAATCCCATGTCTCCGATGTGTCCCATGTGTCTCCATGCAAAAATAATTGAATAGCCTGTTTCGTTATAAACCGAGTTGTGGTAAATATCCGTTAATTTGTGTAGATTACGGTAGAAATCCCAATGGTACGTTGTTTCGCATTTGCCATTTTCGTACCAAAGTACGCTGTCGTCAGATATATCATTTTTTAGGGCACCGAATATTTATGTGGTCGCCTGTATCAAGTAAACGTATGTGTCAAATAATAAGTCTGTGTGTTTGTGTGTGTATGTGTGTGTGTGTGTGTGTGTGTGTGTGGGGTGTGATGTGTGTGGGCTGTGTGTTTGTGTAGAACAACTGTCGAGCGAGATTGATGATATATAAGTAGTAAGTGAATAGACGACGAAAGGATAGAACACAGAGACGAAAGACATATCATAATTACATAATACGTACATACATACATAATACATACTACATACATAATAAAGATCATAATTACATACATTAATACAATCATAATAAATACATACATACATACAATAAATACATACTACATTACATACATACATCATACATACTAACTACATTACATACTACATACCACAATACATACATACATACAATAACAGACATTAATATCATATCATTAATACTACATACTACATACCATAATACATTACCATAACTACATAATAATACATACATAACATGACTAATAATAACATACATAACATACAATACATACACACATACTACCAAATACAGATTACAATACATTTAAATACATTACATACATAGAATACATTACCTCTACATACTACATACATATACTTACAGTAAACTACATACATACATAAATACTAATAATATTTACATACATCATACATTAAATAAATAGAACAGGCAGACAGACGATAGACAGACATGACGACAGACATACAGACAAGACAGACAGATACAACACACAATGCCGCGCGCGCACACACGCCGCGCGCAACACACACACACACACAGGTGGATAAGAATAGATATACTAGGAATGAGTGATGGATGGATGGGTGGATAGATAGATAGATAGATAGATAGTAGTGATAGATAGATAGATAGAATAGTGAATGATGATGATAGATAGATGAATAGATAGGATAGATAGATAGCATAGATAAGATGAGATGAATAGTAATAGATAGTAGATAGATAGATCAGATAAATAGATAGATGTGATAGATAATAGATAGTTAGATAGATAAGATAGATAAATAGATAGATAGATAGTATAATTCAGATTAGAGGATAGATAGATAGATAGGATAGATAGATAGAATTAGATAGATAGATAGATAGATAGATAATAGTAGAGTAAGATCAGATAGATAGACCGATGGACCCTAGTAGATAGCATTAGAATAGATAGTTAGTAGATGATAGGATAGATAGATAGATAGATAGATAGATAGATAGCTAACGATAGACAGATAGATAGATAGATAGATAGATAGATAGATAAGTACTACATTACTTACAGTAGATTAGATAGATAGATAGATAGATAGATTTTAGATAGACTAGATAGTAGATTAGTAGATAGATAGATGATCAGATAGATAGACTAGACTAGATAGCATAGATAGTTAGATAGTAGATAGAATAGGATAGTAGATAGATAGACTAGATAGATAGATTTAGCAATAGATAGACATGGTAGATAGTATATAGATAGATAGATAGAATAGATTAGATTAGATAGATAGATTAGAATAGAGTAGATAGATAGCACTAACTAGATAGATAGATGATGATAGATAGACAATAGATAGATAGATAGATAGATAGATAGATTCTGTCCCTAAAGGTGAGCGTGCCGCTACGAGATCATTGAAAGTGTTCTACGCTGATTTGCGTGAATTCTTAATGTAAAAAGAATAGATTTTACCAGATTGCCGCTAAAACGATTGCAATGCTGCGATTCGCCGTATGTTTACTTACGTCATCGTAATCACGCTCACGGAAATGGCGAGTAGAACGGAATCTATATGATGTGCACCACGACAACGCCGGAAATGAGACATGAATTTGCTCATGATCACAAACAGTCAACTCTACTCGCTAATTATGGTGTTACATAATTAGAATAGCCGCCGTTCTAACGCTGTTTATCCACTAACCTTTCTGTTTTCGCTTTGATAATTAGTAAACAAATTATAATAGCGTGTTTTTACTCGGGCTATATGTCAAACACCGGAAGAAGTTCGGGAACATACGTAAAAGCCGAGAATGAAATTGTACAGCTTTTCGTCTATAGCCTAAGGCTACGGGAATTGCGGCGGCGTGTACTGATATGATTTTTCTATATTTGATAAATATACCATGCGCGCAGGATATAGGAAAAATGTCATTAAAGTGCTCGGCGATATGACGTCACGAATTGCACGCACGCAAATATGTTTATACAAGGAGCACACGTATGTGCACAGCCGCACACGTACGAGCCCCCCCCCTCACAGATATGAACTCAATTTCCTATGAAGCTATTGAGTTAAACAACATTAGCATCCGTCTAGCCGGAGCTTACTGGACTGGATTATGCATGCATATATATATATATATATATATATCTTGTCAACTACAACAGATTGAGAGGTATTTCCGTAAATACGCATTTCGAGGAAATGTTTTGAAAATATCGATTCGTCAGCGATATGTTACATCACCCACCGAAAGTCTGGCGGTTTACAGTACCTATGCCAAAGTCACTAGGGGTGATTCAAATGTACACTGAACTGAAATAATATTGTTGACGTGGTTCCTGTACAATTTATGGACAATAGCCCCAACTGTTATCAGTTCTTATTAAAGTTATTTAATCGCGTTTGAATGTAGGCTCATCAGTTTCCTAGAGCATAAATTTAGAATAGGTAAAATTAAAGATCGACACTGGGACCTTTTACCAATTAGCTCTGCTCAATTTATTACCTATGAATCATTTCCATTGACGTGTCTTTGCTAGCTGGAAAGACTCAAGAATAGTTAGCTCTCGCACTAGGTAGCTACATTACAAGATAAAGTAACTTGACAAGCAGCTATGGATGCAATTTGCCTACTATAATTTTGCCTACTATAATCTTGCCAACTACAATTTGGTCTACTTTAAATATATTGTGACTAATCTCAACGATACGAGAATAACTACATTATGGTATTAGGATAAGTATGCGGCATAGAGCTCATCTTTAGATGATTTATAATAATGCACAGAAATAACCGGGTTGCGGAGGCCATTGTGCTACACGGATGGATATAATCACGTATGTGCGCACGCGCGTGTTACGATCGAGCGGGGGAGTGCGAGCGAGCGAGTGAGTGAGTGGGTGCGCGAGTGAGTGGATGAGTGAGTGAGTGAGTGAGTGAGTGAGTGTGTGAGTGAGTGAGTGGGTGAGTGAGTGAGTGGGTGCGCGAGTGAGTGGGTGAGTGAGTGAGTGAGTGAGTGAGTGAGTGTGTGAGTGAGTGAGTGG